CTTTCCTCTTTCCCTTTCTCTTCTCTCCCTCTCTCCTTCTTCCTTTCCCTCTCCCTTTCTCCCCCTCCTCCATTTTCTCCCTCTCCTCCCTCATAAGTATATAAATATTTTTTAACTGTACATGCAATTTTAGTGCCCAGTGAGCAATGTTCCTTTACTAATGCAATTCGGCAAGTGCTCCTAAAATTATAGCCTTTGAAAGTTGCCTAGAGCACTGGAAGAGATTACTTGACCTGCCCAGCCAGGGTCCCACAGCTCGTATGTGTCATGAACCCAGCCTTTTGACCCTGAGGCCAGCTCCTTAGCCATTGTGGTACTCTCAGTTCTTTTTAGATATCATTTAAAAAATCAGTACTTCGTGCCTGTTGTGTAACTTTGCTGCTTTTGTCAAGTCCTTGCCAACCCCTTGACACATTTCGTTCCCTTCTGTCTCTTCAGAGTCATTTTCTTGCCACATGTAAAGGCGCATACCTCTAATCCCTGCTCCGGGAAGGCTGGGGCTGGTAGGTCACTCAAGCTCAGTAGTTCTGAGCTGCAGCAGGACTCAAGTTGATCCAGTGTCTGCACCAAGTCTAACACCAATATAGTGGGCCTTCAGGAGGGGATGATGTGAGGCAGGAGAATCAGGCTAATGAGGGGCGAACCAGCTCAGGTTGGACAGGAGCTTCCGTATTGATCCACATTGGAAGCCAGCCTGTGAGTGGATACACTACCATCCTGGAAGAGATAGGGAGACCCAGTCTGAAAAAAAAACCCTCCTGTTTTATTTCTTTGATTATTTCTTCTATCCTGTGTTTACTCTCTCTAACAATCCAGAGTAGTAATAATAACATGATTATTATTAACCCTCATATAGCTATATGCCAAGACACGATGCAGAGCACTTTAAAATTATTACCATATTTGATCCTCACAACAACCCTGGGAGGTAGTTGCCATTATTATTCCCATTTTACAGACGAGGAAACTGAGGCAAATAGAAGTTAAATGACTTGTCCAGAGTCACACAGCTAAGTGTCTGAGGTCAGATTTGAACTCGGGTTTTCCTGATTCCAAGCCCAGAGCTCAATCTACTGCATACCGAGCTGTCTCGTGTACGAGGGTATTCCTCCAGCTCTTTCGCATCCTTCCCTGTCAGAGAGCTTACATTCATAATAGACATATAATGAGGAACAGATCATTCAGGAAGATAAACATAGCACGAACCTTGAAGGTCACTGAAATATTTGCCTCCATCCATCCTGCCTGTTTTTCAAGTTCTGTTAGAATTGTTTGTGGTTGTTCCTTGAAACTCCCTGCATACAGGGCTGTTACACATTGTCTGTTTGCCCGGGGCTCCTTTCTCTAGTGGAACCACTTAGGCATTAATCCCTACTTCCATCAGTAGACACATTAGTATATGCAAGAGACACTTGATAGCAGCTTACACACACACACACACACACACACACACACACACACTCTCTCTCTCTCTCTCTCTCTCTGTCTCTCGTGTGTGTACATGTATTTTAGAAGGGATAGCCTACAAAAGCATCTAATTGGATCCTCAGGTCAGTAGGGAGGATGGTATTTTTGGTCCATTTTGTAGGTGAGAAAATAAAAACATAGAGTAGTTTTGACTTGGCCAGCCCTGGTCTCCTGATTTCCAAGGGGTGTATGAATTTTCGAGTTGAAATGAAATACTTTTAAGTCAGAAAAAATAAATTTCTTTTTTAAATTTAATTTTTTTCTTTTAAAAAGAAATCCTTTACATAATTGGTAAACAACTTTTAGAACATACCCTCCTGTAGTGATATTGGCTGAAAATAGAATAAAGAATGGTTTAGAACAGGGGTGGGGAATCTGCAGCCTCGAAGCCACATGTGGCTTTGTTCTGAGAAGTTTGGATTTGGTCAAAGGGCCACACTTGAGGACCTAGAGGGCCACATGTAGCCTCGAGGCTGCAAGTTCCCCATCCCTGGTTTAGAAAAATTAATAGAGGATAGAGCCATAAATCATTTTTGAAGAAAGAGGTATTTAGGGCAAATCCCTAATGCTTGTCGTCAGGAAAGGGAAGCACAGTTTCTCACCATCCTTTGGTACCCCTTAAAGACAGAACACTGAAAGGGATGCGTTATGAGTGTGACTAGTATGAGAACTCCAAATCTTGCCGCAAAATGTTTCCTACTTAAAACTGTGATGGTCATGGTACTTTGGTTATTTTGACCTCTACCTTTAGAGACCATCTTTGGATTGCTATTTTGCAGTTCCGTGAAACCAGCCCTCCTACTGTGTTCTTTACAAATGGTGGTTGTTTGGCCCACTTAGAGTGGAGTCCAAAGATCTAGCTTCTAGGTACAAAGAGGGCGTGGCTTCAAGTTTCTCATTAAACTTCTGGGGCCTCAGTTTCCTCATCTGTAAAATAAGGGGGTCTGAAGTACCTTCCAGCATCAGATCTATGCTTCTAGTCCAAGCTCTGTCAATAACCAGCTTTGCAACCTCTGGTAAGCCTCTTAACCACTCTCTAAGCTCTCTGGTTTTTTCATATACAAAATGGAAATACTAATACTTGTACCAGCTTCTTCATATGGTTGTGAGGAAGGAGATTTGTAGACTTTAAAGCATGACATAAATGTGCACTCTCACTGTATTATGGATTGTGTAATATTAATAACTCCTCTGGTCCTCAGTTTCCCCATCTATAAAGTGAGAGGTTTGCTTCCGTCTCTAACACTCTGCAGTCGTCTATAGTTCCTAAGGAAATGGAAGCATAAGATCTGAGGTTTTGAGGGAGGGATCATTTTCAAGCATCATTTCATAATTTCAATAATAATTAGTCATGTTAACTAATAATATTTTATTAAAAATCATTTTAATAGAATAATATGTAGGCACACTCACGGGTGTGCATGTTTTTCTTGGCCTATTTAGAAGGCATGGCCTACAAAAGCAATTCGCTATGGAAGGTAAATTATCCCTTCCTTTTGCAGATAAGAGTACTGGGGCTTAGAATGGGCCTCAGGTCAACCTGATGATCCCTAAGCAAGCAGATCTCTTAACTCCAGAGCCAGCCTCTGGGTTGTTTTTTGTTTGTGTGTTTGTTTGTTTGTTTGTTTCTTTGCTTGTTTGTTTTTTTAATTCAAGATCCTTACTGCTGGAAAAGTCTCTGTAACAGCCTCTTCAGCTCATGTATCATCATCGTGTCAAGTCTGTGCAAATGCTTGACTTTCCAGATGCTTCCTCACTCTTTTGTCTCTTCCACAGAGCCAGTACAAGTTTGTGTGTGAAGCTATCCTTCGTGTCTACAGCGACGGTCTGGTTCAGCCACTAGATTCTAGCTAACGTGACTGTTCACCATTTCTCAAGAACACCAGCCGTAGGAGCAAGACACATCGGACTGGAATCAGCAAAATAGATCCACAGAGGCTATAAGAAGAGAATGAGAACCTTTGAACTCTGCACTTTAAATTTCCATAGAAAGAAAAAAAAGCATTTTGTATATATGAATACGTAGATACATATGCATGCGGTTGTGTATAATACCATTCATACGCATATGTGTGGACAGAAGCTTCAGTGGTATGCTGCTTGCTTCTGTTATCCAATGGAGAAATAATCAAAAGGAAAGAAAGACTCAAGGGGAACTCATGGCCTCTGTCTTAACTTGCCTTTAAAAAAACTTTCCTGTAGGCAGCCATAATAACCCTAGTAGCCATCATTTTGCTGAGCATTCAGAAACTAAGTAGCATCAGTTATTTTAGGCTTATCAAGTATTTTGTTTGAGAAAAAAATACTAAAGGCTAAGTGTTTTAGGCTCCTAGAAAGAATTGGAACAGAGGATTAATTCTCTTTCCCATTGTTAAAAACTGCTTATTTGTCAATGGATCTGTGATTTCATTTGTCTGGGTACTCCCTCAGTGCTTTCTTATCTTGTTCACTTTTTTATCTGTGTTTGTCTTCTTTAGAGGATCCTGCCCAATGCACTAAAAACCTTCCTCTAGGTTTTTTATTGTTGTTTTTTTTTAACATTTTGTAAATACCATTGTACTACCTAGTACACCAGCTCATCTATTATCTCTCAGCCTCATTTATGTGATAGATGGGCCCACACCCTTTTCCTGTCATACATACCCTCAGTGTTCTATTTCGCACCACTTTTTATACACAAATCATCATTGTGATATGCTGCAGCCTTCTTACACTTACCCTGTGTTTTTTCCATTGCCCTGTGAGTTGCCCACCATTTTGATTCCTCTGATATCGTGGTGTTCCAAGATTTGGTGTCATAAAACATCACTGAGAAGAGTATTGAAGTTTAAAAAAAAAAAAAAAGATGGGTTTTTAATTCAGGGAGTAGAAACCCTTGAAAGAATGCCAGTAATACTGGTAAATAGTGAATATTTATTCACTAAATATAATAGACATGCAAGGCCTAATATAATATACATTCAGTTAAAGAACAAGGCATGCTAAGTCTAACATTGTTTATTTGTTTTTATGCCTTCAGGTGTTAAATCATTCAGATGTTAATATTTTTGAGAATTGTGTCCCAAGCCTTCCTTCTTGCCTCTCCCTTTCATCTCCTCTTTCTGATTTGTACTTAAATGTGGAAACCAGATAACATTTTTTCTTTATTTTATTTACAAATTCTAAACTTAGATTCTGAGATTTAGTCTTCTCAGTTTCTTTATTTTATTTATTAGTGTTAAGTTTGTGAATTGATACTATGTCACCTTGTCTCTCTGACTTGTTTACTGTGCATTCAAGATCCAGTACTGGAAAATGTCTACTACTGAAGCTACTCAACATTTTGCTGCTACTTCAAACTGTTAAACATGGGGAAAAAACTATGCTATTAGCGTGGGGATGATACGGTGGAAATATTCAGTCTTTGGCCTTTCTGAAATTTTTTTTTTTTTATCCAGTTGACCATGGGAAACACAAATATCCCAAGGGATGTGCCCTTGTGTGTGTGTGTGTGTGTGTGTGTGTGTGTGTATGCGCGTGTGTGCGTGTGTGCGTGCATGTATGGGTGGGTGTGTGTGTTTTTCAAGGGCAATTTAATTCAAGTTATGGATGAGTTATAAAATCTGAGTTTCTGTATATATGAAAGACTGTACACTTTCACCCTTAATACAATGGTCTCAATTTCATTTCAAAGGGGAGGATCAGACCATCTGAATGGTATAAACACAATGTTGATGTTAATTTATTTGAGCACACCCTACTTGTAATTGTACTAGAGAATTCTGCCTCTGTTAATAATATTGGTAATTTTTTTTAAATATATGATAGAATTATAACAAAAATATTATTATTTAAAGAAAATAATCTGAAGGTCTTAATGTGTTGTACAATGTAGACATTTATATGTGTTAAAAATGGAAGCCAGCCAGTTTCTTAATGAGAAGTATGAATAAAGATGCTTTCATATGATTATGCCATGTGACAAGGACGCCATTTTGATATTCTGCAATCTCTGAATTGATTAAAAGGTTTCCTTTAGCTGTGAAATGTTTAAAGTACATAGTGGGAACTAATTTTTCTAAAGGTATTAGGGCCTGTATCTGTAGATCAACCACATTTGCTCAAATTCTGCCCCTGTTTCTTCCACAAATAGATTACCTGGTAATATCATTCCTGCTCTGTGAACCCTGGCAGCTCTGGCCGCATTAGGTTTAGGTTAGTGTTAGGTTGCTAACCTAACCAACTGCATGGATGTTAGCGCCTTAGGCCAGTGGGATGGGTTTAGTGGAAGAGTTCTGGGTTAAGTGAGGAGAACTTACTGCCCTGCTGTTTATTACTCGCTTAAGCTTTCTGTGTCTGATTTCCACTCTGTAAAGCGGAACTGATAATTGAACGTTCTAGCTTCGGAAGGCTTGGGGATTGATTCAGAGATGTAGCTATAATCACACCTCATTTCTATAGTGTTTTCATTTTTACAAAGTGCTTTCCACTTAGCAACCCTGTGAGGGTGGATGGTGTAATTTTTTTTTATCCTTATTTTACAGTTGAAGAAACTGAGGCTAAGAGAAATTCACCTGAGTCACACAACTAATAAGTATCAGAGCTGGAGCCTGATCCCAATACTCATGATTCCATATCTATTGTTCTTCCCACTATACTTCATCTTAGCCCAGATAGGGTACAAGGTATAGTTAATACTGTTGTTAGGGATAGGGACTGGGCCTGTGATTTCATTGGTGTGAGAAAACCCTCTCAACCAATGCAGGTCAATGCCTTCTCTTTGACTTACAACCTTAGAAAGTTGCCCTAAAGCACTGAGAGTAAATGCCGGGGTCACTCAGCCATTGTGTTTCAGAGGCAGGGCTTGGACCCAGGTCTTTCTGACTTGTACCACATTACTTTTCTTCACTGTAGTTATTAATGAAACTTTGAAAGGATTCTGATAATCCAAAGTGTTTTATTTCACTACCAGGCAACTAACTCAGATGCCACAAACATTTGATATCTTTGATCCTGATATTCCTTACTACAACAAATTCTTGCCAGGAGCAGCAAGAGTACAAAGTTCCTTTATCTTAATTTGTTCTCAAAAAAAAAAAAAGAGAGAGAGAGAGAAATGTGGGAATGAGCAGGCACGCTCTCCCCCATTCATACATACACACACACTTTTAATAAATTGCAGTTGAAGTACTTCCAGACCTTAGTATCCATCCCACCACTGCATACTTAGGACTTCTGAACCTTTCCATGTGCGCTGTAGCCGAACTTTGTTTTATCTATTCTCTACCCAATTAGAGTGGAAGCTCCTTGAGGGCAAGGGCTATCTTTTTTTTTTTTTCCATTTGTAACTGTAATACATATTATAGCACAGTGCTTGGCCTATAGTTGGCACTTAAATGCTTTTTCTTTCATTAATTGATTCATTCACTCATTGCCATGAATCAAATGAAACCATGAATGTAAAGGGCTTTGATAAATCTTCAAAGTTCTTTGTAAATCTCAGCTATTAATAATTCAAAGTTCATCAGTAATGCCCATAGAAAAGTGGCCTTCAATGCTACTGTGATAAAAGTGCATACTTCCTGTTTCCTTATAAGACAGATTTGGGGTTTTTTAATATATGAAAAAGATCAATAATAACACCCAAAAATCATTATAGATAATATAGATAGCTTTTTGCCAGAATTTGTTAGGTCAAATCTGAGGCAGGGGAGGGCAGGATCTACAAAATAAATAAAAATTTAAAATTGCATATTGAATTCTGTAACTCAAAATTTCAATTATACCTACACCTATTAGGGTATGGAGAGTTTGGTCAAGAACCTTGGAGTCAGGACAACTGCATTACTTTGGAAATTGGGCAGGAATGAGGAATTGGGAGTGAGTTGTGGGGACGAGCTTCATGTATCAAAGAATAGCATTCTAAGTAAGAGTTGAGCACATTAATATGCTGTGGAGTTGATGAAGATGTAATACCTTTGTATTAGGTTAGAAAATGCAGTTCGGCACTCCAGCTTTTCAATGAAGAAGAGTAAGGGGCAGTCAAGTCCTTGAGAAGTAAGAGTTTTGTTTTAAAAAAAAAAATACTTAGACAAGGCTTTGTATAATTCCAGCCATATGGAGTCAGTCCCTTAAGTTAGTCTCAACTAATTTAAAGACTTACTGCTATGTAACATTGACAATTTCTTTTAAGCCAGTAAAATGTATGCTTTGAGGATCAGCACTGAACCTTTAGACAACAGGATGGGAAAAATGCTAATAATGCCGAGAATTCAAATTAAGCTTGAACCACAGTGGTATGAGAAACTGAAGAAACTCATAATAAATGTATATGAGATTTTCTCATGAGTGAATGCTGTTTAATGTCACTATAAAGGAAAAACAGCCCCACACTCGGCTCTCTTTGCTATCAAAAGTCTGAGCATGAATTCAGAAACGAAGACACTGCAATGCAACAAACTGGCCGCAGGTCAGGCTGCAGTATTATTGTCTGATACCAAGCACAGCCCAAGTCCAATTGAAAGGTGGTCATGCGACCCTTATGACTAATAATAACTGATACTTCTGTAGCACTTTAAAATAGCACTTTATGCATATATTATCTCATTTAAGCCGACTGTATGAGGTAGGTACTAGGTAGATGGGGTGTTGCACTCAAAAGACAATGTGAGTTCAAATCCTGCCTCAGACAGGTATCAGTTGTGTGACCCTGAGCAAATCATTTAACATCTCGGCTTCAGTTCCTCATCTGTAAATGGGAATAAAATAATCACACCTTGCAGAACTGTCGCAGGGATCAAATGAGATAATATATGTGAAGGTGCTTTGCCAACCATAAAACGTTACGTAAATGTTAGATGTTATAGATATTAACTCAATTTCAGAGGCAAAAAAATAAGCTCCAGGAGCTTAAGGGATTTCTCTTTGGTCACATAGCCAGCATAAGAGGCAGGATTGGAACTCAGATTTCCCTCTAAATTATACTGCCTCTCCCATGTAACTGCTCATACTTTCTTTGGAGAAACCAAAGAATTTCTGTTGTCTTATGTTTTTGAAAGATCGTTGATTAATAAGGTACATATTTCAATGTAAATACGGTTATTTTGTTACCCATCTTTCTTTAAAAAGTCTAATGGAACAAAGGTCTGAGTCATCAGTTGAAAAGAATTTGAAGTAATCCAGAGCTATTTTTACCCATTAAAAATTTTCGTCTATTGATTTGAAGTGGTTTTTGAAAAGAATTTTTCTTGTAATACACTTGTAAAACATGCGTTGAGTGAGCATGATGTGGATTTCTGTGCATATTACCATAGGTGCACTATTCTTCTGGACCCACACACCACTCACTTTCTACCTTACCCTAGATTTATTAGAATATACACATGATTTTGCCTGCTAAGCTCCTCCCAGTAGAATGGGCTACCCTTAACTCCTATAACTTCTAAAAGGCAGCATCTGAGCTCCCCAATTTCTCTGATACAGAAAGGACCCCAGGGACTTAGAATACATCCCTCAAAAACCCTAATAGTAGGAACCCCCAAAGCTTGCAATGTGTCTTTAATAACTCCAAAGAAGTAAAAACCTCATGACTAGATGAGGCCCTTTCATGCTGGTGATGATAGATATTTACAAAGCAGAGCCCTGTACTAGGAGGAAGGGAAGTTTAGATTAAATATTGTTATCACTAGGGAGCTTATACAGTCCAGTGTGTATAGGTGCACATCCCAAGAATTATAGGTTTAAGAGCTGAGAGGAACCTTGGGCTGTGTACTCCAACCCCCTCATTTTATAAAGGAGGAAACTGAAGCGCAGAGTATATATAATCTGCTCAGAATCACACAACTAGATTCAAACTCTGGCCTTCCTGATTCTAACTACATGATCCACTTAGCCACCCTCATTGGTT